ACAGGTGAGACAGGTGAGACAGGTGAGACAGGGGACACAGGTGACACAGGTGAGACAAGGACAGGTGAGCTACGAACAGGTGAGACAAATAAGACACAGACAGATGACACAGGTACAGGTAAGACAGGGACAATTGACACAGCTGTCCCCAGGTGTTCCCAGGTGTGTATCAGGTGTATCCAGGTATGCCCCAGGTGTATCCCAGGTGTGCCCAGGTGTATCCCAGGTGTCCCCAGGTGAATCCCAGGTGTGCCCAGGTGTGTCTCAGGTATCCCCAGGTGTGCTCAGGTGTATCCCAGGTGCATCCAGGTCTGCCCAGGTGTATTCAGGTATCCCCAGGTGTATCCCAGGTGTGCCCAGGTGTATCCCAGGTGTGTCTCAGGTGTGCCCAGGTGTATCTCAGGTATCCCCAGGTGTACCCAGGTTTGTCTCAGGTGTATCCAGGTGTCCCCAGGTGTGTCCCAGGTGTGCCCAGGTGTCCCCAGGTGTGTCTCAGGTATCCCCAGGTGTCCCCAGGTGTGCCCAGGTGTGTCCCAGGTGTGCCCAGGTGTGTCTCAGGTGTCCCCAGGTGTGCCCAGGTGTATCCCAGGTGTGCCCAGGTGTATCCAGGTGTATCCAGCTGTGCCCAGGTGTTGTCCAGGTGTGCCCAGGTGTGTCCAGGTGTGCTCAGGTGTATCCAGCTGTGCCCAGGTGTATCCCAGGTGTATCCCAGGTGTGCCCAGGTGTATCCCAGGTGTATCCCAGGTGTGCCCAGGTGTATCCCAGGTGTATCCAGGTGTATCTCAGGTATCCCCAGGTGTGTCTCAGGTGTCCCCAGGTGTGTCCCAGGTGTATCCAGGTGTGTCTCAGGTATCCCCAGGTGTGCTCAGGTGTATCCCAGGTGTATCCAGGTGTATCCCAGGTGTGCCCAGGTGTGTCCAGGTGTGACTCACCGGGGGGAAGTCGCTCAGTTTCTGGAAGGCTCGGATGTACAGCTCGTGCTGGGGGAGGGGAAAAAACAAATTTGGGGATTTTGGGGAAATTTTTGGGATTTTTGGGAATTCTGGGATTTTTGGGAATTCTGGGAATTTTTGGGAATTCCTGGGAAATTTTGGGATTTGGGACATTTTGAGGATTTTGGGATTTCTTTGGAATTTTTGGGGATTTTTTTGAATTTTGGGATTTTTAGAATTTCAGGATTTCGGGAATTTTGGGGATTTTTTTTGAAATTTTCAGATTTTTGGGATTTTGGGGATTTTGGGAATGTCTGGATTTTTGGGATTTGGATTTTTGGGAATTTGGGGATTGGGATTTTTGGGAATTTCTGCATTTTTGGGATTTGGATTTTTGGGAATTTTGGGATTTTCAGGATTGGGAATTTGGGAATTTTTGGAATTTTGGGATTGGGATTTTTGGAATTTCTGGATTTTTGGGATTTGGGGAATTTGGATTTTTGGGATTTTGGGGATTTTGGGATTTTTGGAATTTTGGGATTTTTAGGATTGGGATTTTTGGGATTGGGAATTTCTGGATTCTTGCCATTTGGGGATTGGGAATTTGGGATTTTGGGAATTTTAGGAATTTTAGGAATTTTTCTCTCTCACCACGTGCAGGATGGGAGAATTTGAACCCAAAAAAATCCAAAAAATTTCGTAAAATCCGCCCAAAATTTCCGATTTTCGCGGGAATTTCGCCGTTTTTCTCCGGAATTTTGGGGATTTTTGGGAATTTCAGGATTGGGATTTTTGGGAATTTTGGGAATTTTAGGAATTTCAGATTTTTTTCTCTCACCACGTGCAGGATGGTGGGATTTGAACCCCAAAAAATTTCGTAAAATCAGCCCAAAATTTCCGATTTTCGCGGGAATTTCGCCGTTTTTCTCCGGAATTTTTGGGAATTTCAGGATTGGGATTTTTGGGATTTTTGGGAATTTTGGGAATTTTAGATTTTTTTTCTCTCACCACGTGCAGGATGGTGGGATTTGAACCCCAAAAAATTTCGTAAAATCAGCCCAAAATTTCCGATTTTCACGGGAATTTCGCCGTTTTTCTCCGGAATTTTTGGGAATTTCAGGATTGGGATTTTTGGGATTTTTGGGAATTTTAGGAATTTTAGATTTTTTTTCTCTCACCACGTGCAGGATGGTGGGGTTGCAGCCAATGATGAAGGGAAGGTTCCGGAATCCTTTGATGCGGTGAGCGATGCGCACGGGCAGCTCCTGCTGAAGGTACCGGGCACTTTTCTGA